TAATTAAGTAGAAGAGGGAGTGAGAGAATTAAGAAAGATAATTATAGTGTTTTTAAAAAAATATTATATTAACTATTAACTAATTTTAGTAACATCTGTAATTTACTCAAATTATTAGTCAATCTATTACTATATAAAAGTAGAGTATAAAGCATGACTTACTAACGGACTGTCACTTGGCTTCACCAAAATGTAGATAAATGAATTTTTTTCTTTTTCTCTAAAGCCAAAATTTTATGTCCAACTCTCTATTTATGCATTATTCACCACCATAATGCATGTTCCTCTTTATTCCCATTACCTATCTCTTTTTGTGGTAGAATCAGTTAGTTATCTCTCATAATGTAATATTTTTTTATTTAAATGGTTTTAGTTGAATTCTTGGAACGTATTGTTTATTTATATTTTAGTTAAATTGTTTGCAGATAAATTTTTTATTTTTTATTTTTGTTAAAGTCACATTTCTACTCATGATCTCTCTATTTATGCGTTTTCCTTGGGAATTAGTTCGATCATATTTATTTGATTGCACATTTCATGTCTTTCTATTTATTTTTGCAAATAACGATTTTTTGTTAATGGTAGATAAATCTACTTTTTTTATAATTTTTTAATCAATTCAATTAATTCCAATTTATTACACAATTTATTGTAATTATCTCCAATAATGAGCCTTATTTTTTCAATTTTTTGTAAAAACAAAAATACCCTTTATATGCAAATATTTTAAATTAAGAAAAATAAATAAAATTATATAACTTCTCTTATCCCGAAAATCGTGGCATATATACGAGGCATGATGTATGTTCAAAATTTGAAATTTGATGGTATTATTTAAAATTAATTATGCTTGAAATTTAATTTCAGCTGGTCTATTAGTATATTGAAAATAATATCCCACACCCTAGATCTAAACTATATAAAAGTAGAGTATAAAGCATGACTTACTAACGGACTGTCACTTGGCTTCACCAGAATGTAAATAAATGGATTTTTTTCTTTTTTTCTAAAGCCAAAATTTTATGTCCAACTCTTTATTTATACGTTATTCACTACCATAATGCATGTTCCTCCTTATTCCCACTACCTATCTCTTTTTGTGGTAGAATCAGTTAGTTATCTCTCATAATGCAGTATTTTTTTATTTAAATGGTTTTAGTTGAATTCTAGGAATGTATTGTTTATTTATATTTTAGTTGAATTGTTTGCAGATAAATTTTTTATTTTTTATTTTTGTTAACGCCTCATTTCTACCCATGATCTCTCTATTTATGTATTTTTCTTGGAGATTAGTTCGATCATATTTATTTGATTGCACATTTCATGTCTTTCTATTTATTTTTGCAAAATAATGATTTTTGTTAATGGTAGATAAATCTACTTTTTTTTTTAATAATTTTTTGATTAATTCAATTAATTCCAATTTATTACAGAATTTATTGCAATTATCTCCAATAATGAGCCTTATTTTTCCATTTTTTGTAAAAACGAACATACCCTTTATATGCAAATATTTTAAATTAAGAAAAATAAATAAAATTGTATAACTTCTCTTATCCTGAAAATCGTGGCATATATGCGAGGCATGATGTATGTTCAAAATTTGAAATTTGATGGTATTATTTAAAATTAATTATGCTTGAAATTTAATTTCACCTGATCTACTAGTATATTGAAAATAATATTCCACGCCCTAAATTTAAACTATTATTTATACTTGAAATGTTTATTATTTTTTATTAATAATTTTTTTAAAATCTAATTCAAATGAAAAATTATTTTACTTCTACTATTGAGAATTAAAATTTATTTTAAAATAAAATAAAATATTAATTTTTAAGGAAAACAATCGATGTCTTTTATGGATTAGCTTAATCAAAATAAAATAAAATACAAACTTAAATATATTAGTCGAGATATTTTCTTTAATGTTAGTATATAATTTTAACAATACAAACTACTAAATTTCCTAGTATATTGAACAATGAACCTATTTTATATTTTATTTGACTTTTTTCTATTATTAATGATCTCAAATAGTGAATTTTCTAATTATCATTATGATAATCAACACATTTTATGTTTTATATTAAATACCTAATTCAATCTTAACTCCACGGGGTATGCGGATTTCAGGAGAAAACAACCAGTGTGCATCTGATGTTTGTGTATGGTAGGGGAGAGTTATGGGGGCTATGATAGTTACTCAATTATCACAGTTATCTGAATAACCATAAATGTTGCTGTGCACACTCCTCCTTTTTTTTCCACATGGATAACTAAGATGACAAGGCTATCACTCTCATAAGATTATATTGGAAGTCTTATTTTATTATTTTTTATGGCGGTGGTCACGAGGCTCCATTTTTACATTGAATATGGATATTTTGATATTGTTTTGGTAGTTTTATACTCCCTTCATTCCTTATTATAAGAGACATTTGATGCTTATGGCATGTTTCTATATATAAGAGACACTTACAAGTTGTCTCTACTTTTTTGTGTTGATTTACTATTTTACCCATATTTATTATCTCCAACTCACACACTCTCTCCCTCTCACTTCTCTTTCTTTTAATAATTTAATTGTTTTCTCTCATGCTCTCTCTCCTTATTAATGAGGGCATTTTTGAAAAAAAAAATTATACTTTTTACACATTAATTGTTCTTAACTAATTTTAACTTTTTTTGATCAACGTACTTCAGTTATTTGTCTCTTATAATAAGGAACGGAGGGAGTATTATTTTAAGTTTATATTATCAATTCCTGAACTAATTAACCATGGCAACTACTTTCAACTTATGGGAGTACATTTTTGTGTAGTTTTCAAAATATTTTAACTTACTAACCATTTTGTCTCCATTAATTTTTCTTGTATTAAATAGCCTACTTTTACAATACAGAATCAGATATCATATTTATCCAATATAATATTATTGACCATGACATTATCTGTGTAATTATTGAATATAATCAAATATTTGAGTTTCAATCCATTAACCCTTTTGTCTCCATGAATTCAATCTTTTTAAAGGAACATCCATTTATATACTTACATATATAGCATATTTCTAAAAATATTGATATTGATCTACCTTAACTATAGATTTCAAAAGCTTCATGATATTTTATTTTAAATTAAATTGAAATCATGACTTGAAATAGTAATATAATATTCAACTAATTATTTTGTGATAATTTAATTTTGGGAGAATTAGAGAGAAGGACCTAATATGTATAATATTTATTGGAAAGGATCTTAAAAACTATAATTGTTTAGAAGGACCAAATAGTAAAACGTAAATTTAAAAATACAGTTTTGCCCCTAAATAAATTCCCCACGTTGAACTTACCAAAGTCATAACATTCAACCATATTTTTATTTATTTATTTCATACTCTTATTTTATTTTTTTATACCAAAGTACTCTTATTTTTTTTCAGGCCATTATAAATTTATAAACCCAACCCTTAAAAATAAATTGAATCATATTGGTTATCAAAATTACAAATTTCAAATAAAAGTAACATATAGAAGTCATTATGTCAACGGGTATTTATCATAATAAAAGTGGCTACAATAATTTAAATGCCATAGACTAATAAAATTGAAAGAGCTATCTCTATTTAGGATTGATAAAAATTTGACCTAATAACACCAAATATCAAATATTAAATTAAAGATCTTTTTATTTGGGTTCAATGTTCATTGTGTTTTTTCCCTCTATTTTTTTCTTAATAAATTCTTAGTGTTCAATTTCGTACATAAAAAAAAAAAAAAGGAACTTGCATTATTTTAATGATTAATCATATCAAAGTCCAAGAAAAACATACATGACATGGCAATATTTACCACATGATGTGAATATATGAAGTGGTAACATTCATGAAAAAATTGCTACAATATTTCTTTACTTTTATAAGTTATGAATAAGTTATATATTGTTTATTATTATATTATTTTTAAAATTTGTAATTGTATTATTTAACAGGATTCAATTTAATCCTAAATTAAGGTTATAAGGCATGAAATAGAATAATAGTATGAAATAAATAAATAAATAACCATTAAACTTCGTAACTTTAATAGGCTCATTATTCTAAAAAGCCAAAAAAAGAGTTTTGTTAATTAAAAAATGATGGACAAATAAGTTAATTAGTGTTGATTATTAATTTAATTTTACTAATTAGAATTGCTTCCTTACTTTGTAATTTGAATCAGTTTGAATTCTCAATTATTTCATTCAAAAATAGGATAATAATAGGATGTGGTGAGAGAGAATATAGGAGATTTAGTTAGGGGCAAGTTAATATTTTTAAACTCATATTTGAGTATTTGGTCTTTCTAAATAATTACAATTTTTAAAATCCTTTTCAATAAATATTATCCGCAATTGGTCCCTCTCCCTAATTCTCCCTTTAATTTTTTATCTTATATAAAAGAAACTACCAATTCATATCTGTGTATTGCACATGCACTATACTAATTAAATCTTTTGTTAAAAAAACAAAAGAATATAATATATTTTTATATAGAAGGGTATTTAAGACATTCGGCTGTTTGTTTTACCTACTTTTTTTTTTCCCCCTCATTTTTTCTCGTCGATCCGAAATGAAGTTTTCACTGCTTCAGTCCAAAAAAAAAGTAATGAAGTTTCACTGCTCTCTCTTTTCTCTCCTCTATTCTTTTTTTCCCCTTTTCCTTCCAATTTTTTTCCCATCAAACGGAGTGATTTGAATTATTAGCTGATTCGTCCCTCGTCCTTCTCTCAGGTCGCGTGAGTGTCAGCGGTAATCAGCTTCCGTCGTCCTCCCCATTACCCAGCGAAACGGCAGCTTTGAGGGCAGCGCCGGACGGGAAGGTAGAGGAGAGAAGCCGTTTCCCTCACGGTCTTCGTTAAACCAGTTCGACGGCAGCTCTCCTTCTCTCTCGGTTAATCGTGTACGAAGGCGCCCTCCAGTGGTAAAATTTCACCTTGTAACCAACGCGGAACTCGGAACTCGGAACGCTTCTCCGTTTTCGCTCAAGTACGGGAAGATGTCGGTTCTAATCGTCACTAGCTTAGGAGACATAGTGTTGGATTTGTACACCGATAAATGCCCCTTGACGAGTAAAAATTTCTTGAAGCTTTGCAAGTGAGTCTAAACATTCCATCATTACATTTCTTTTATTTTTTAATAATTTTTTCTGATATAAATTACAATCTATTTTTGGGTTTGGCTATTCAACTCTTCTCCCACTGATTTTAAGGCATCAATGTTTAGTTCAAAACCCGGAACCCTGCTTCTTTGTTAACCATTTATCACGTTATGAATTTAACAATGGAGATGTTCAAAGATACTAGCTCGCTTAGATATGAGATATAACACTAGTTTGAGGCATTTTAGTATCTTTCCGATCCCCCAAATGAGCCCCAACAGTTTTATGTTGTTTGTTTTACTACTCCTGCACAACGATTTACACGAGGCTATGGTGCCTAAGACTTCCATCCTTCCAAATACTGCTGCTCATAACATAGTATGTGCATTTCAGAGTGCTTATTCATATGACAAATTCTTCATTTGATACATATTGCAAGCTCAGATCATGCTTTTTGGTCGTTAGAGGATTGAATAGAGCACATAAGAGACCGTATTATGGTCGCTTTAGTCTTGCTCTATTGAGCTGCGTATTGGCGTGTTATGAACATGCGATATGGTTACTTGATATCTAGTTCAATGATGGCTGGCTATGAGCCGTATGACTGTTTCCCTATAACTCCTATAGATTGATTCAATTCGCACATAAAAATAAGAGATATATGAGTGTTTTCCAATAATCAAATTACATGAAAGCGTTTTCCTTCTCATCTCTCACGAGGCCTTCAAACATCTTGTTTCAATAAATTTTTCTGGTGTTGGGAATAGAAATTTAATATTGTGATTCAAAATTATAATTAGAGTGGCAGGAAGTCAAGTCTGACTTGGAAGAATTGAACATATATATCATACTGTAAGCTTTTTGCAACTCTACACATATATTCAAAATAATGAGTGTCTATATATTGTACCTTGTTAAGCTGGATTCATATGGACGTTCATACTTGGTCTAGCATCATAACTAATTCTTTGTTACTCTGGACTTGGCCTAGGATTAAGTACTATAATGGGTGTCTATTTCACACGGTTCAGAAAGATTTCACTGCTCAGACTGGTGATCCAACTGGAATTGGGAGTGGTGGTGATTCTGTATACAAGTATGAAACCTGAACTTATAACTTTATAATTCTATTGCACTTTGAAGTTTGATCTAATATTTCTAACATCACTCTTTCTTTCAGATTTCTCTATGGTGATCAAGCTCGCTTTTTTAGTGATGAGATACATATTGATTTAAAACATTCGAAGACTGGTACAGTTGCCATGGCTAGTGCCGGAGAGAACCTGAATGCCTCCCAGGTACAAGATTAGTTTACTTCAAATGTTCTGTCAATCTTATAAGAGAAGGAGAAAATCTTGAATTAGTTTTTGCTCTTATCTTAACCTACTGTAGAAAATTGCTTTTGAATAATCATTGATTCAATTTAACTTTTACAGTTCTACATCACTCTGCGTGATAATCTTGATTACCTTGATGGAAAGCACACTGTAAGTATTTTCTGCTCTCATGCTTTAGTTGCATCACTGAGTACAATTACATCCTTGTGTTGAATCTTACTGAAAAATTTTCACTTCCATATTTTTGATGTTGTGCCTTCTTTCTTTTTTGTCCTTGTAATTTAACCATTCCCCACCCGCCTCTCTGTACGGCCTTAAAATGTTGTCATGAGATATACGATATAGGATCACACAGAGAGAGAGAGAGAGAGAGAGAGAGAGAGAGAGAGAGAGTGGGGGATTGAGATCTAATTTATAGCAATTGAAGGCCGGAAATCCTTCTGAAAGGATCTAAAAGAAAAGGTAGGATGTTCAATTAACACAAGAAGCATCCCCCCCGTCTGATGTTTGTGAAAAGAGAGAGTAGGAGATTGAGAGAGAATCAGAGAAGGTTAGAAGAAGAATTCAAGTCTGATTAATCTGTCTATAGGCAACACATAACTTGTATCAGAGTCCTCCCCCTTATTTATGTTTTAACCTAGGCTAATGGTCACTGGCACACAATTGAACATAATTAACTTATAACTGACATAGCTAATTCCTAGATTCACTCGTCTTTACATAACAATACTCCCTCCCCCAAAAAACCACCCTTGTCCTCAAGGGTTTAGAACCTGTTGCTGAAACTGATATAAGGGAACCCTTGTAGCCTCTTCATCTGGTAAGCTGTTCCATTCCACCAGAACCTCTGTTATGATCCTTCCTTTGCTTCTCCCAACCCTTTTATTCAGAATAGTTTCTTGTCACGTGTGTGTCAGCCACGCAGTAGGTTGATGCTGTTGCTTAACTGATGGATATGGACAAAGTTTAAGGAGGGATACATCAAAAACAGGATTTATCCTTGATTCTTGAGGAAGTTCCAGCTTAGAACCTACTGGAACAACCTTTTCCTTAACTCCATAGAGCCTTAAAGACCTTGGTGCAAGTTTCTGTGAGCTTCTTGTAGCAGCAGAAATTTGTATATAAATTTCAAAAACTCTCACTAACCTACTTCAAAATATCTATCAGTTCCCTTTGCATCAGCTTTTTGTTTCATCCTTTAAGATAGCCAATACTTCCCTTGCTGAGAAACTTCTATTTACAGCCTCAACAATAGCTTCTTTTGGTAAATAAGGAGCATGTGGTGGAGGCTTTTGCCTACAATAGCTCATAAGGAGTTGCTTCTGTTGCTGTGTGGAAAGTAGTGTTGTATCACCATTTGGCATGTGAAAGCCATTTACTCCACTCTTTAGGTGTCTCCCTACACATACACCTTAGGTATGTCTCGAAGCACCTACTTTGGATTGTCCATTGGTCCATGGGTGATAGGCTGAAGATAGCTTCTAATTGACACCTAAATCCCTTAACAATTCCTTCCAAAAGTTGCTAATGAACACAAGGTCTCTATTACTTATAATCTCAGTTGGTGCACCATGTAGTTTATAAATGTGATCCATTAAGTGCTGTGCAAGGGTGGCAGCTTTGTTGGGCGAGAAAATGGCAAGAAATGAGCATATTTGCTCATTCTATCAATGATACCTCATATGGTGTCCTTCTCTCCAGATTTAGGAAGGCCTTCAAGGAAGTCCATTGTGATGCTTTCCCAGATTTTGTTTTTAATTTTTAATGGTTGTAGCAACCCTGTTGAGGTGATTTCTTCACATTTCAGCTTGAGCATACATAGCAAGCCTTGATAAATCCTGCACATCCCTCATCATCATCTTCAACCAAAGTAAAGACTTTACCCTTTGATGGGTAGCCTGCATTCTGGAATGTTCTCCCCGTGAACATGCATGTAGCCACTGTAGGATTTGTTGCCTCAAGCCAGAACATTACCAACCACTATCTTGGCCTTCCCAAAAACTTATCATCCCAAGTATAAGCAAAAATGCTGCCCTTTTGCCTCTATACCCAGCAATTAGAGCCTCTAGATCTGCATCCACCTCCCAGCTCTCTTCAATCTTTCCACCTCCATTCAAGGAGTTGCAAAGAAACCTTATGTCATCGAAAATACTTTGGTTAGTGAACAACCATCTCACAATTCCCAGGGTGAAGAATTAAATAAAGCATTTTATAGGGTTTGAGTAGGTTATCAAGCATGAAACATCAAATTGTTTCGTGGGTTGATAGTTACGTTAAGAAGGCTAGTTGGTTAGTTATTAGCGTAAGTAGGGGAAAAAAGTGCGTAAGGTGATGTCTATTAATTGAATAATACACTTTTACATTTCTCATCTATCAGGATGATTAAACTTGGGCCTAGTTTTGTTTTACTTTTGCATTAATAAGAATTTTTATCCCTTTGGAATCCTTCCTATGATAGTGTTTGTCATTCTGGTTACTTTTCTGAGATGTGTCCATCATTGCAGGTTTTGTGTGTGAGGTAGCTGAAGGACTTGACACTTTGACTAGAATAAATGAGGCTTATGTAGATGACAGTGGGAGACCTATAAAAATATCAGGTTTTTATACATTCTACTCTGTATTTTTATTCTGTTGATATATTAATTTGATTATATTTGTACATTTCTGCATTCCCATATAGTTGCCACTTCACTTTTTTGAGATGTAATGTAATGTTTTTTCTGAATTACTTGAACAGAATCAAGCACACTTACATCTTGGATGATCCTTTTGACGATCCTCCTCAGCTAGCTGAGTTTATTCCTGATGCTTCACCAGAAGGGAAGCCAAAAGATGAGGTAATAGCTGATTGCAGCCCTAGATGTATGGCTTGAAACCAAGCAAACAATAGACATAGTTACTTATCAGCATGGCAAGGATTGTTTCTGGGAGAAAGACCCTTTTTTTTTTTTTAGGTAAAAGGAATGTATTGGAAAGGAAATTTATTTGTTCTCCCTCTTGTTTTTGACTTTTGGTACGCAAGCAGTCAGTCCATTTGTTGGCCTATCTTTGGTGTGTTTGTTTCTTTCATGGCTTATTGAAGGAAGCTTCTCTGTTATGTGCAGATTTGATGGTAGAGCTTGTTGTACAGTTGAATTAGTACTTTTTGCAAAATCTTGTAATCATTTTGTCTTTACTTTACAAGGTTATAAGTGGGCAATGATATTAGGTTAGCTTGATAAATTTAAAACTCTGATGCATTTGCAGTCAATCTGGCTCATTACGATTGATTCCATCTTATGTTCCTTGACTCTTTGGTAAACATGTCTGTTAATTAATGCGATTTACTAGATTCTTGATGAAGTTCGGCTTGAAGATGATTGGGTGCCCATGGATGAACAATTAGATCCAGCAGAGCTTGAGGAGGTTATTAGGAGAAAGGAAGCACATTCTAGGGCTGTTGTGCTTGAGAGTGTAAGTATATGAGACGCATTATTTTCACACATTGTCTCTGATGATATGATCCCATGTGTAACTCTCTCTTCATCCTTATTTTAGATTGGAGATATTCCTGATGCTGAGATCAAGCCTCCTGATAACGTGCTATTTGTTTGCAAATTGAACCCAGTTACTGAGGTGAGTGATCTTTCTTGTCGGGGTTAATGATTTCTATCCTGCCCCTATTTTCTCCCTTTTTTCTGAGTTAGTACTTTTTGTGTCTTTTTGATGACAACATCCTACTTATTTTCAATTTCAGGATGAGGACTTGCATACTATATTTTCACGCTTTGGGACTGTTGTGTCGTGAGTAATACCAACTACTGGAGCTTTTCAATTCTTTTAATAATTGCATTATGTATTTCTCATTTGAATTTGAAATATTTGATTATAGGGCTGAAATCATCCGTGATCAGAAGACTGGTGACAGTTTATGCTATGCTTTCATAGGTTAGTCTATATTTTGTCGTTGGTAATCTAAGAAAGAGCTTCATGAGTTATTTGACAGACACTTCTAATGAGCAAACAAAAACCTTACTTGTAAAATGAATTATGTACGTCTTAGCTGCCAAGATTCTTACTTATTTTCCATTAGATATGCTCACATTTGCATTCAAAATCGTTTTTGCTAGGGCACTCTATTATTTAGTTTAAACTGCACAAATCTACTCTGATTGTAGATAAATGGATGATTAGTGATTACTTTAATATAAATCAAGCAACAATCTTACTTACTTCTTATGACGGCAGAGTTTGAGGACAAGCAGGCATGTGAACAAGCATATTTTAAGGTTTGTATTAAGATGTCTTCTTTTCTGTAATGTTCTGTAAATTAAGACCAGTGTTTTGCTCCATGGCATTTAATGTTTTGATATTGCGGTTGGCTATATTGGCTTTTTGTCTATTTACTTGGTTGGCTTAAGTTTATTCTACATATGTACTATGAATTTGCTCAAGGTTCTCTCTCACATGGCATCTTGCATTTTATTCTTTTTTGAAGAAAAATCATTTTTGCAATGCCTTTTTTCTGCATGGTTGTCTTAGCTTTCAGTGATATTCTATCTGAATTTGAATTGTGCTTTTAGATTTTTAACTGGACTGGTAGTTTTGTTTTTTGTTTTTACCTATCCTGATTTTAAGATGGGCAAATTTTCGAGAATGTGACACAGAAATTATATACCAATTTACCATGCTATCAAAACTAATCATCCAGATTCCAGATACTATAAACCCGCAAATCAGTGTGATAGATACTTACATCTATTGTACTTTTTATTTTTACTTGCACAACTGGGTTTCCATGAAACAAAGCTCCGCCTTTAGTTTTTTTTGTTTGTTTTTTTTCTTTTTTTTTTTTGGGGGGGGGGGGGGGGGGGAATTAAAAGCATTACTAGGTTTCCTGGAAACCGAGTTGTGTAGAAAAAGTTGCAACAGATAGGTATCCATCACACCGGAATTGCAAGTTTACGGTATCTAGGTAATTAGTTTTAATTGTGTAGTATATTGTTATATAATTTTCTTGGGTTTTTGTGTGTGTGTGTGTTTTTTTTTTTTTTCCTTTTGGGGGGGGGGGGGGGCATCATGATCAATTTGCTTTCAAGACGTGTCTTTAATGATGATGTATTCTATGATTTTCTTTTCACCAAACAAAATGTTATTTCCTATCCTTGTTTTCTTCTCCCCCCAAAACTGCAGATGGATAATGCTTTGATTGATGATCGAAGGATACATGTGGATTTCAGTCAGAGTGTGGCCAAACTATGGTCACAATATAGGCGCAAAGATCAAACTGGTAAAGGTAAGGATAAGAAATATTTATTGTGTATAATCTGGCCGTTCTCAAGGTGTTATGCTGAATGTCTTTAGTTGTTTCTTTTTTTTTTTTTTGGGTTGGTATTTCACTATGCGTATTTGGATATAAAATATATTCTATCATAATCTTGACATGAAATCATGTGGCTGTAGGTAATGGCTGCTTCAAATGTGGTTCTACAAACCATATTGCCAAAGATTGCACTGAGGATGGTAAGAATAACCAAACGGCAAAATACATCTTGAAGGACGACAATGCTCAACGTGGTGGTGATGATGCAAGGTTTGGACTCACTATTGGTTGTGCTGGTCTCTGTTTGTGTATTCAAATGCGTGACTGTTGCTTCATGGTGCAGGTATGAAATGGTTTTTGATGGAGATGGTGAAGAGAGTCCAACGCAAGGAAAGGGACACAGAAGGCACGACAAGGATGAGCCAGTTGAGAGAAAAAGTATGCATATGGGTCACAGGGATCAAGAGATGGTAGGCTCAGGCAGCAGAGATAGATATGGTGATAGAAACAAAGGAAGATATGAAAGAGGTGCAAGAGATGTGGATTCCCGTGCAGAGAGGAAAGATGGGGAAAAGTATATAGATAGACATAGAGATGATGATGGTTATGGTCGGAAAGATGATCGAGACTCTAGGAGGAGATATGAGGATGATCGCCATACAGAGAGACGGGCTGGTGGAGATCATAGGCGAAAAATGGATACTGGCCATGTCGAGAGAAGGGATGACAAGGACAAGGAGTACAACAGAGATAGTGAGAAGAGAAGGAAGGGTGGTTCAGGTGAAGATGACCATGAAGACAGGAGGAGAAAGGATGACAGAGATCATAGGGCGAAACGAAGAAGACCGAGGCAGGCAAGATGCGAAGAACGAGTCCAGACAAAGAAAAGGGAATGCAGATGACGAAGAAGATTATAGACGTCGAAGGGAAGAACGTGGCCACAGAAGAAAAGATGTGGAGTTTGACGCTGATCGGCATAGGAGACATCGTAGTGACAGGAGATGACCTTCTAGCCTCCTTTTATCATAATCCATGACGTTGTATGTTTATTTTCCTCTGCAGGTGCTCCAAGTGCTAATGTTCATTTTGCTTAAACGGCAAGTGATATAAAGAAAATGACTACCGTATTTTTGGGGACAAAATACATGGTACTTTAGGGAGATACCAATTGAGAACAATTGAGTGATTAAAAACCCAGATTAGATACAGAGAATGAAGAGTTTATGAAGTAAGTGGAAATGGAAATGGCTAAGGTTTTGTTTGGTTCAATAGAAGGAAGGGGAGGGGAGGTTTATTCAAGGAAGGAGAGGAGGGGAAGGGAGGTCATAGGTTTGTTTGGTTGAAGGGGAGGGAAAGAGAAGAGAGATTTCTTGTTGGTTTATAAGAGAAGAGGAGGGGAAGTAATTATAAATTGACAAATATGTTCTTATTTTTATATTTAGACTGTTTTATTCTTTTATTATAATATTTATATCAAAATTATTATTTTTTAACTTATCAATTTCAAAAAAACCAATAACCTCACTTACATGTGATTTAAAAATTAGAAAAAACTAAAAAAAATTAGGAAATATGATAAAAAGTTTAACATTCTATCTCATTAATTTTGTATTATATGAATTGATACATATTAATATATTATATAATTATAATACACACGTTATGATATGTATATTAATATATATGCATGTTTAGAACCTATGTGAGATTATAATATACATGCTATGATATACATTTATAATATACACATGTAAAGAGATGTATATATTATATAATTATAATATTATATTATCATTAACAAATATTATAAGTGGCTGAAAAGAAAAAGAAGTGAAAAAAGATTTCTAATAAGAGGGACAACTTAGACTATTGAAAGTTAGTATAGGTAGTTTACTCAATATTAAACATAATATTTCTCCCCCTTCCAAAAAATTTCAAATTTGGAGAGGAGCATAAAGAGAAGAGGGGAGCACTAAAAGACATTTGTTCCTTCTCCTTTTATTTTTCCCAACCAAACATATTTATCTTATCCCCTCTCCTCCTTCTCTCTCAACAACCTTTCAACCAATCAGAGCCTAAACTGAGATTAAAAGTGTTTGGAATGTCAATGGAAGTGTGATGAAAATTGCATTTAATGTATTATATTTTGAAAAGACCAGAATACACGTTAAATTATTTTTTTTTTTTAAAAAAAAAAAAAAAAAAAAA